TTTATTATCGAATGTCCAAATTCTTTTTTGTCACCCACTGGCACAATCGATACAGCCGTTCCAGTTACAGAGACTCCCCCTTCCACACACACACACACATACATAAAGAGAGAGACGCTAAATATGGAGACTGATGTTATTCGTGGAAGTTTTCTCATACTACATGAAAATTACCAATCCCATTACATTTCCGCAGGTGTCGGCAATCAAACAGAAGAAAAAACAGTTGCCGGTCCGCTCAAAATGGCTAGACCCTAGTGGCCTTGCATTTGGAGAAGACGACATTTTTTGGCTATTATACTGCGGAATCCAGACTATGCACTCCATTGTTTATTTGTTAAACAAACCACATAATTTTTTATCAGTGCATCACATCTGTGTGTGTGTGTGCTCATCCGTATTATTTAAGCGAAAGCGCTGAAGCGTTCAGCTGGAACTTATCCACCCGTCTTGTGTCAATCAGCGCTGAAAGTTAGCCACGCTGACAGGTACTACAGGAGAGATTCCGGTGTGGTGAAGAGCCCAATTCGTCTGAGGTGACTAGCTGCCGCTTTGTTTGGACAATTATGGGGACCGGACTGACGATTTCTACTGGTTCAACATCCACTCAGTTCCCATTGTTTGAACATTTCTTCCTAATGGACATATCCTGGCCTTACGGTCGCACCCCCATTCCACCCTTCATTATTATGGCAACTGAAAGCTTAAGGGGTGTGATTGAGTTTAATCTAGTTGACCTGTTGGTCTGTCCACCAGTGCTGTGGGATTTGGAGCATAGGCCTTCCCGCGGATTTCCGAAAAGCAGTTGTCACAGCGGTCAAATCAAGCGCCAGACACATGCACGCACACGCGCGTGCGAGAAGTATTCCGGAACGGATAACACCTACTGTCGTTAACTTTGAAGCCGTTTATCTAAGGCGGTTTCACCCATAAATAAGCTACGTCCATTTCCTCGCGCCGTAGATGTTCGAGCCACAGCCTGCTGACACCGTGGGTACACTAAAACGAACCAGCTTCAGCGCGTCGCGTGCCAGCCAAGCAAGACATCAACCAGAGGAGGGTTTGTTTTTCGAACACACTGGCTCATAGAATTTGCCTCTTATATACGTCGAGCTGGGTGACCAAACATTCACAGGTAGACCTGCACAACCGTCCAAATTTCGATGCCATCCCTCCAAATTCAGATTTGCAGACACTGATCCCATTTACAGTCCGTCATTAGCTTGGAACTTGACGTCGTGTCAATTCTCTGGCTGCGTTGAAATCGTTTCTGTGGCATTCCGAAGCCACTGTCGCCGGGTGGTGGAGACCAAAATGAAGTGCCCAGAATGATTTGATTATGTGATTGATATTTCGCAGATGACTGATTTGCTGACAGAATCCTAAAGACAAAAACTAGTATTGTCTCCGCTATTTTGAAATTCTTTGGGATGTACAAATGAAGAGATACGATGAAATCTATCCAGTGTATCCTTCAGCAGTTTGTCTTTCTGTGATCTCTCAGGTTTATTGGGCGTTGTTCCAGTCCCAAAGTATATCCACGTGTAAACACCAATCTAACGTGCAAGTAGGACAGTTGTCCTGGTATTAGCAATCATAGACCATCATTTGGCAAAATTTCTGCACCGATAAACCCAAGCTCATTTAATTGTTAATCCGATACCGTTTTTAATTTCGGAGCGGTACATCGCAACGCGAACCGCTGCTGATTTGATTACACGAAGAATTTTTCTACTTAGCGACTCTGTTGTGCTGCTTGAGGCATTAGGTCAAATCCTGGACCTAACCGTCACCGCTAACACTCACACCTGGCCAAATGGTTTATGTACAGCTTGAGCGACGCATGGTTACATGGTCACATGGTTACATCTGTGTTGTGACAACCATAGTAATGGTAGTCGATTCCACTTTCATTGTTGCTGTCAGTTGTGTGACTGGGATTTCACCACAGGCATCCCGTTAAAGACCAAACCAACAGGTCGGCAACAACTGTGAGTCCCCACACCACGATCAGTGGATAGTCGCTTCAAACTGTCTAGCTGTTCCCATTCGTCCTTAGATTGTCCAATTAAATCCAGCTCGTTAGTCGAAGAAAAGTACTCCAAATCTTTCAAACTTTCTCCCACAGTAAATTTCCAGTATTCTGCCGCAGACCACTCTCACCTGATGGAATTAGATGAGTGATCCCATCAAACACTGTCACACCAAAGTATCGGGTCACTGTGTTTTCTCTCTCCGACATTCTCATCTTTCATCTGAACATTCCCGGTCACTGAATAGCACATGCTCTCATCTAATAATCTGGAAGGCATAGACTCGGTGCACTTGGTCGAGTTTCCTCGCCGGTGGTAGAGTTGGGTGTAACGTTTTCGATGAAGTACTTGTAGCTCTTCCCCTCCTTTTATAAGTGTTAACCTGCTTTCACGCTAAACACTAGTGCATCATTTGTATGTAAGCAGTTTCCCATGGTTATTCTTATGTCAGCACTTGTTCACTTTCCACCTCCACGGCTAGGAATCCATTTGAAGTGTGTACTGAGCCTTGATCTACTCCAGGGCGTCCATAGCCAAAATCGCATAATGACTTTACGTGTCCACTTGGAGCTACTTGGTTGTTGTAGTTGTTAGTAGATTGCACATACGTCTTGGTTGCTAGGCTAAGAATGCGCTCGTTTTGCCCAATATGGATGCGAATAAATGAATTCTCAACTCGTTGGCAAGCTTGATCAAAATCCACGTCTGTTGAACGCCAGTCAGGTATCGACAGCTGACGGAAAGTTTAGATTTGGTTTGTTGTCTAAGGTTAATGCTGTGGCTATCGACATGTTGTCTAAGGTTAATGCTGTGGGCTGTCGACAGATTTTCAGCGACCGTATGAGTAGTGCATTACAAATACATAATAACGGTTAGGTTGTTCCAGCAGCCAGATGAGGTTGGGGTCTACTGAACCAGCGCAATCAGCATGATTGACAGCAGCAGAGAGACAGTTTGTTTGGGCGTGCGCAGAGTTTTTCATTCAAGCAGTGATCCTTATACTTGCTAATCTGATGCAGTATCCATCCCAACGTACCCATTTGGAGAACCAGGTTTGGAGAACAGAAAATGGTAGAAGGACAGTCGAGTTACCAGGCCTACTTAGGTCGTGGATCCTCGCTTCGGACAAGCGTCATATCTCACTACGCAGTAAGTACGAACCATAGACCCGTGTTGGTCTGTCTGGTTCCGGTCGATGAAGCTCAGTCAGACAAACGAAGTAAGCATTGGGTATTCATTTTGAGGCTTATATAGTTTGCGGTTCAGACGTGGGTGCTAGTGCTGTCAAACGATTGAATCTCGGAGCTGTGAAGTGATCATAAACAAGTTGAGGTCTCAGAGAGTCTGAGATACGTTATAGCTGCTTGGGTGATTCCAGCAGAGGAGATAGGTTTTGTAAGGAACATTTCACACAATCCGTTTTGAAGACCAGGTGATTCTGTTAGCCCTACGTATACATGGTCCTCAATAAGATGGCAGACAGCGTCATGTGGTTACTCTCCTCAAGCATCCCAGTTACAAATGTTTAGGCTCATCCGTTGGAGACGGCATCCACTGAGGGCACACAGTCATGTCTGAATAAGTTAAAGACTAGTTAAACTAAGAGTCGCACTATGGAGGCCAGTTTATTTTGGAAACGGCGCAATGAGAACTTTACTCAAAAGATATCATTGCTGAACCTCACGAAATCTCACTAACTGATTGACTATACAAGATATCGCACTCTCCTAGATGATAAAAGTCAGGATACCGTATACCCAGTTGCTCCATTCGCAAGGTTCTTGAAAATGAGTATGACGTTCCCAGACGAAGTTGATCAAAACGTAAGAGCTCTAATTCCCCGCATCGGGTGTGTCGGAAATCTGATCTAGAGCCAAATTTTTCGAGCGGTTACAGTAATTCCCCCCTAGAAACACATATAATAAGTAGAGTTCAGAGCGAAAATTTCAATCGGGTTTCCACAAGGTTTACGATACAAGATATCTCAGCGTCCTATAAAGAACTGACTCCCGGGTGAGCGACTTTAATCCCCCCTCCTGGAGCGGTAATTTTGAAACCGGAACGTTTCGAATAGCCGCTTTGAAGTTTAGCTAGTTGGATCAATAGTTTCGAATACAGCGCGAGAAGAAAGCTGCTGCTCTTTCAAGTCGTTGCATTCCTAAGGTCTTTTAAGCATTTGTCTCTCCAGAGATGATTAGAATTTGCTGTGCGCAATGCACTACTCGGAGCGCTCACCTGAAACCAGACTCAAAACGGTTGATGCCCTAGGGGCATCTACTACTAATGGGGTTGTGAGGTCATCACTTCGAAGATTTCTTCATTAATCGATACACAGTTTGCGAGAAATTGTTGCATGGTTTTAGAGCAGTACGAAACGAAGAGAATTCCGCCAAATGAGGAGCAATAACAGATAGCTTTGCGAGAAATTGTTGCATGGTTTTAGAGCAGTACGAAACGAAGAGAATTCCGCCAAATGAGGAGCAATAACTAGATAGCTTTTCAAGCTTAGAGAAGGGCATGACCAATGGTATCTTAAAGTAGGAAACGAAATCAACTGAATGTCATTTTGTGAAAAAAGTTCAGCAGATTTCGATCAGTACGTGTGTAACGTGTCACGATCTGTTACACTAACACAGAACTATCGTGCGTTTCTAGGAAGAGACCGATCCCGAGTGGATTTGATGCTTATTTGTTCAGTGCTAGTCTCTCTTCTAATGCTTGATGTATTGAGGACATCTCTGAAACCGAAGAATGCCTAATTTTTGTCCTCGAGAAAAGCATGATGTGTCGCAAATCTCACAACATTGTCCGAAACAGGTTCGGACTGATAAATGAACTGTCGCCGGTTGCACGTAACATCTTCTTTTTAACATGAAACTGAAGCCACAGTAGTAAGCAAATTGTAGTTTCAGAGCAGTTCAATCGGCCATCGCGTTAAATACCCATGGGTACACACAAATACACCGAAATGGCTTCAAAAGTGTAATCACATGATGACTATTTGTGCACGACTTGCAAAATACAACAGACAGTACGAAAAACCCCACGGAGTCCCATAGCTGGTTGCACAAAACATATTCATATGAGCAGAGGTGAACAAATTCGAGGTGAATGATCGCGAAATTCCGCTCTGTGGAATCAGTGGTTTGGAAACAAGATCACGGCACAGTTGCTAGCGAACTCCGAGGTGATGCCCGATCCCGGGTGTGGTTACTGAAACGTTAAAACAAGAAGGAGGAGGTGTGATATGATCCAGCAAGCTGTGAATCACCAGAATGTAAAAATGGGAAACATCAATACCTATAAAAGTACACTACTAAGCAAATGATACAACAATGATGATAAAAAACTGCCCTCAAGTCAAACCAGACTGGTATATGAGGATGGGAATTTGCTATATTTTTAGAAATGATTGGAAGCATATGAGTGTGCCATTAGGTACACCTCTGAAATACATAAAGAGCGTCATTTGTGATATGCTTGTTTTGAAGACTCAGGCAACTAAGCTATTAAGGTTCCTGTTCAAGCAGACCGCTCGTTTGCAGCTGGGCGAAAATATCATATGGAAAACTAAAGATGTTCCCTGTGTACTGCAAACATAAAAAACAAGTTAAATGATCGGCTTTGCAATCGAATCTTGTAGATGACTTGGAAACTTCTTACAACAATTAATGTTATGAGCGATCACTGAGTGGGGAGAAGTACGGAAACACGATCGTATCGATACCCTGCCAGTAGAGGCCACCAAAACGCCCGATCTACATTGATTACACGCCATAAACACCTAACAGGTAGGTCTCAATAGGTAAATAACTCTGAAACAGCTCGGAGGTGTAATCCAGGTTTCAACCGTATGATCCAAAAGTAACAGTACGGGTGCCAAACGAGGAATCGGTTTGGCTTGTTGAATTAAAGCGCTTGCACAACCTTATCACTGATAGGATTCACAAACGAAAATGATGAACGAAACTCTAACGCAAGACCACAAACTATCCGATAGTTGTTGCCATCAACACCATCATCGACAGCAAGATATCAGCGTTTAACATTGATGCATCGTCGCCAACTAAATCATCTTCTCCAATCCAAACCCGTCAACTTGAGCGCATACCTTGAGAGCATAACCCAAATGTGGTAGCTTAAGCCATGACATCTTCTGTTCCACAAAGCCACATGAAACACCCACGAGAAAACGAACTCTTCAGGATGACAGCGACAACTAATCGAGGCAGTCGAACCATACACCCTACTCGCACGGGAATGGGTAGTTAAAATACATTGCGAAATTACGAGACTCATAGCGCGGGCCTATGGCTCTGAACAATTTGAAAGATAAGGCGACGTTCAGTTTACAATTCTACATGCAACTGAAAGGCTGGAAAAGTTTTCGGAAAAAACTCAGAACATTTATTATCATTGACAGTAACACCGGTATGGAATATTGATGCTTCACTGTTGTATAGTCCTACCAATTTACTTGAGCATAAGTTTATGGTCAAAAGAACGAAAAAGCGCAGCAAGGAGAGAGATTTACGACTAGTGTACCATGAAATATCCGAGGTGTCTGCACCTCCAGCACTAATTCAGACAATCTGGATAGAAACTGACAACATCAAGACCACTAACATCGACCAGCTGCCGTCTCCAGTCAAGTACAGAGAGGGGTACGTGGAGCCCAGCCTGTACGGCGGACATCATTAACAGCACTCAAATTTTTTGTAACATCCTTCGTTTCCTTCTACCGAATTAGACACGAAAATAGCGCTCATCTTGACAGGCGGTAACTCTGTATACATAATACACGACCCAATGATCTTAGCTTGGAATTCCAGATGCATTCTTCACCGAAAACCTAGCCCTTAATCGCCTCATTGGGAATTCACTAGTTCCAGCCGATTGCAGATATACTTCTGTATGTGGTTAGCCAAGGACCCGAAGATGTCTCGTATCCTATACGCGAAGTGGTCAAGTCTTGCAGGCGTACAACAGTACAGCCTGCCCTGTATTTTGATACACGCATCTGCTGAGACCTGATGAGATAGATGTCTTTCTGACACCAAAAGTGGCGTAAGTTGACAAAATTAATTCCGACCTTCGAGATTCATGCGTTCACTTCGTCTGTCACCAATGTCAGAGCTCACCCAACTTCTTAGATACATATGGTGCACCACAACTTCCACTGTCACTCCTTGAATTTTTATGGGAGTATTCAAAGACCTGGTAACCAGGATGACTTTGCTTTTCGCGGGTACGAAGCATATGACAAAGGACTGGGTGCCCTTAGTCACTTTTTCTATCCTTGCTTTGAAGAAAGGAGAAAAACGTCGTCTGCATATTCCAGGACGATTTCTAGGGCTTAGCAGGAACCTCACGTTCGTTGACCTTTCGGGAACCAACATGAACTAACCTCGCATACATATATACGTTGACTAACCGGATTGCGTCGATACAGTTTCAGCGTCCTATCACCTTAGGCATTTCCAAAGTCTTATGCTGTCAGGTTGTCTTTCGTGAGCAACAACTTGCAGAAATGTGCATATCCATTAACCCATTATCCATTTAAAATGCACAACCAGTGCAGTCACTCCAGGAGCTCATTCCAGTGGCACTCCGAACAACGAAGTAATATCAACTAAGCGCTTGGTAACACAAGTGGATGCATTTGGCTTAGTGTTTAGCTACAATATGACTGTAAATGACGCATTGCACGACTCATCGTAACCTGGGTTGCAGCACACGTTAAGTGAAGCAGCGACGAGTTGGCAACGGAACTCACGTTGACAGGTTAATTGAGGAGCTCGTGAAAAACGGTTTATGCTGCGACAGCTCCAGGGAGAAATCGTCCACAACGTGAGGGTGAAGGTCATTGGGATAGGCATTCAACTCCATGCTACCGCCAAATTGCTTTTGTCGCTGTGATATAGCAAATGGCAACGGGGGTGGTAGAGCTAGACTGTGTCGGGGTGCGGGTAGGAAACGATTGAGGGAAGCTTGGGAGAAATCCTTCTCATTAGCGCGCGGTTTGTGGAAGTCCTCAGTCGAAGAATGTGAAGAATCGGTTTGAAGTTCTAGCTCGTAATGGATAGCTCTGGAGAGTAGAGTAGAACGTTTTGATAAGTTTGACGAAATGGTTTAAAAAGCATTAGAATGCGTTAGAAATACGCAGGTTAAGCATATTTAGATGGGCGACAAAATGCTGCGCTCAGTGACGAATACTTAAGGGTCAATAACATCAGTGGCCATAAACTGTCTACAGGTTGTGTACCGACGAGAGTGAACGCTGGATTTGTTGAAGAGTGAGTGCACTGAATTCACTGGCACAATGGACCCAGATGTACCTCATTGCCAGCACAGTCCTTGAAGAGTTATTCAGTCAAAATACTTGACTGATTCATGTGTGTTAGCACCGCCGAAAACCGACACACCATGGGAGGGGACCCAGGAACAAACACGGCCAGTTTGTGACGTTCTTCCACTTATCACTTCTCCACAGCGAGCAAGAAGACTGAGCGAAGCAACCAGAGTCTCTAAAATTCATACTTGTGAGCCAACTTTTATGGCGAGCGCTCGCAGTTATTCTCGTTAGATAAATTAAGAACAACAGCCTCAGTCGGAGTCCTGCAAGATTTACTTGCCCAAGCTGGTCGCTATAAATTGTCGTCAAAAGAAACTTTGGAATACAGTAACCTTTAAAATATAACTGATACAGGAAAAAAAATTTCACGAAACCTAGGGGGTCCCTCCATGGGATATTGACCAATAGGCAAAAAATCTCAACTAGTTATATTTATATCCTATAAAGAGTACCTAATCCTCACTGCGAAATACACTTCACTTATCCTTTAAGATATTTGCGCCTTCTATGTGTAAACTTTACCTTAGAAATTGAGGCGCAACCCATTTCGTTTGTAACTGCCTGAGGAAAATCTCAGAGCTTTAGTATTCCTGCTGGAAATATGTTAAATGTCGGCTGATTTGTGCATGTTGGCCAAAAAAGAATATGGCCGTTTCTTTGTCGACGTTTCATCGGTAGCAATATCTTTAGTCGGTAGTCCATCGAAAATAAAGTTGCGCGTAGTTTGGAGGGTCCCACTAACTGGTATCTCGTTTATTTATCGGATACAGAGGTGCAGCAATACAAGCATGAATCGGTCGGTCAGCTTAGTGAATCGTCCTGAATCGGCAGCTACTGAAACACTGGTAAGATCTCATTGAACGCAAAGGTTACACTATTATGATATTACTGCCAGTGTAGAGGAGACTAAGGTTTGTGGACATATGCTCCGATCTCCAATGACGGAAAAACGACCAAACTGTGACGCCAAGAGGGCTGGGATACTGTCAAGGTGCCCAAGCCTAGACAGCAGAAGTAGAGATGAAGAGATCGGGTTCGAAACACGAACAGTGCGGTCAGTAAATTCGCGCTCTAACCACTGAGACATATCGGCTTTCATTTCAAGGTAAATATGGTCTGATCTGCCGATGACTTATTCGGACAAATGGACTGATAGTGACAACTGCAGCAGCTTACCGAATTCCACTCGATCTCTACGGAGCACGTGATGGTAACCAGATACGATTCAGCAGTGTTTTTAGACTCCACACGTTTGTATCACCTCCGTCAGAGGACGTTGGAAAATCAGTTAGGTGACGATTTTGTCGATGATTTCAGGATTTTGACCTCAGGGACACGTGATCATGAAGCAACCCTCTATTCTTCCAATTAATAGCCGGTCAGGCCGTAGACCCATGATTTGGCATTTACCAGGTTTCCTCGGGGATCACTAACTATTCAGACAACGAACTGACTACCGGACAAAAGTGAGTTTGTCTGAATAAGCGGATAACCAAAAATCATGCCAAATTGTGATTTTCTAAAAGTCTGTGGCTCTGATGCCAAGAGTTCGAAACTTCTCAGCGTAGAATTACCTGATTTATGCTATTGATACAAGTCCCAAGAAGGACGAAAGGCCTTGTACAGCTGACCATTTATAATCGGACCACATTTTTCTTAATCCCGAAGTACAGGGTGTCTCATAATAGACGCAAAATTTAATTGAGTAATTAACGTAATTAATTAAAGAAAGAATGACGAAATTCTTCAATATTAGTAGCCAAATAAAGGAGAAAGTGTTGACATTTTTTTGTTTACGATGGATGCCAGTACGTGCATTGAAATTGTGAAACTCTATTATTCTTCTAGTGAAAGCGCCACCACTGCACTTCGTGGTTACAAAAACAAACATGGTCTCATCAAAGATCCTTTTGTCGTGTAGACCACTACACGCTTGATTGCGAAATTTGAGTCCACTGGATCTGTATTGGATTTTCCTGGCGAAGGAAGAAAGTCTCTGAGTGATGAAAGAGCGCCCATTGTACAGAATGCAGTCAAGCAACTTCAGCACCACAGCCCATGGCATCTTCGTCAATAACTCAGGTGTCTCAGCTAACTGGCATTCCCCGTTCCAGCGTGCATCGTATTATGAGACGCTACCTTCATCTCTATCCGTAACATTTCACTTTATTACAAAACATCACGGAAGTAGACAAGGAGCAACGTGTCACGTTCGCTAACTGGCTGATGGACAATGAAGAAATCGTTCCCAACATCTTATGGAGCGATGAAGCAAATTTTTCTGTGGATGGCATAATCAACCAGCACAATTGCGTGGTATGATCCCGTGAAGCTCCTCACGAGTACCTCATCCATTCCCCTCATCTCTGTGTGTGGATGGGATTCTCCTCAAAGTGTCTCGTCCCTTTTTCTTTGATGCTACGGTTTCCGGCGACAGTTACCTCCATATTCTGCAGATGCATGTTATCCCGCAACTCAAGCAGCACAAGAAGTCATCGACCGTCTTTCAACAAGATGAGGCTCCACCTTACTACTCAAACCAAGTGAGAACTTACCTCCGAGAGCAATTGTCTGATGAGAGAGTCATTGCTCGTGGATTTCCAAACTTTTGGCCCACAGAGTCACCCGATCTCAAACCTCTGTATTATTGTTTTTGGGGAATGATCAAGTAAACCGAAGAACTTGGTGGAGTTAAGAGCAAGAATTGAAGAGGAGTGTGCACGAGTGACGCTTGAAGAAGTTAAACATTCTGTGTCACACATTTCATACCACCTCCAACTTGTTACAGAAGAAAGGGGCAATTTTTTCAATATCTTTTGTAATCCCAGTTTATTTACACAAAACCTCCATAATGTATGTATGTTCACATAAAAAATTATAAATTTTCAAATTAATGTTAAAGTTTTAACATGAATATTATTTTTTGCGTTTATTATGAGACACTCTATAGATGCCTGACATTGATCCAGGCTGTCTGGTAAGCGTTTAGTGAACACCGATCAACATCGATCGTACTTCTATGAAAGGTCTCAACACTGATTACGTTTGGTCGTGTTTCTGTGGCTTTGCTGAATTGATTGAATGGTTGACTGACCTGGATGATTGCCGGCTTTCTTATTGAGATTTTGGTTTTAGGGTTTTAGGGTCTCAGTAGGTTCCGGGCATCCTGGGGTTACTTTCAGGAATCTGACCTTCCTGATAGTATGTACACTCCCGGATTGCATTTAAAGTACGTAGAAGCAATAACGCACTTCGATGCATTAGGTTTATGGGCGCACAATGCAGAGATGTTTGAAACAACCACTAGGCTCTGACAAGCTTGGAAACATGGAAGTTCACGAAGAAGGACGAAAACATGGATCCATCTGATTACCGCTGCTGGTGTAGTATTTTGAAAAGCTACTGTCAGAAAGCTCAGAAACGGTGCATAGAAATAGCCACGAGACAATAATTTTCCCAGTAGAACTGGTCCCTGTGGTTGAAGCCTTGCCCGTTTCTGTTTTTGATACACTAAGGAAAAGTGACCAGAGATTAATTATGCATGACTGCAGTTGAACTCACACAGTGGGTTCAGGCGTTTCTTCGGAATGATCATTGGTCTGTGTCAATTGTTCATCAACCTCATCTTTTTCAACATCTTCGTTTGTCTTATCAACGCACCTGAAAGGATTGAACAACACACACTAGAGGGGATTGTAAAAAACAGATACGTCATTGACTTCCTTTAATACTAGTCACGATACCGAGAGTACTAACATACTTTTCCATATCAAGGTTTTTTTTATTCAACTAGGTAATATAAATGTGATAAGAAGATGAATCTGCACTTCCGAAAGCTAGGCTGAAGAAAGGAACACAAAATCACAGGCTTGAAGAAACATACGGTTTGATTTCTACCTACCTAAGGCCATCAGTTATAGAACGAACCACAAAAATGCTCGCAAAACCTCTGAACTCTATATTGGCGTGATGATGTATGTAGTTCTTTAATTCATTGAGTTATACCGGGCGTTGGCTGTGTAAGAACATTTCTGCTAAGCAACATACCTTTACACACTTTGGTCTTAAAGCCCGGGATAGCTTGGTGGTTAAGGCGCGAACTTAGTGACTGGAGGGTTCGTGGTTCGGACTCGACCCATGCATCTTGACTGCTTCTATCTATGCTTGGGAAAACCGACAGCATCTCAGCCCTCGAGCGTTTTTGGTTGGCATGCTATCGAAAGGGTGTTACGATATACCTTAGGCTATCCTGGTGGCTTGGACAGGCGGGGTACAAGTTGGGTCTGCGAATAACAGGAAGTCAGAGCAAGGTGCACTTGCAAGCGGGACCATTAGGAGCCAGAGTTCTGTGTCTTACTCATTGCGCCATTGAGCTAAGCATATTCACTGCTATCAAGCAGAACGGCTTTCCGAGTTATTGGCTCTTTGCAAAGAGGTCACCTAAGGAAACTTTAACACCGTTTGTTGGGTGTGTTTGAGTAGTGACACCGAGTCAACAATTAATAAGTAGCGAGGCCATCGCTATTTGCTAAGTGACGGAAAAAAATCAAGCCCCCAAATCTTTGGCTTTAATTCCTCCTACACATTCCCGTGTTTCATAGACTGAACAACCCACGCATATTGGAGTTTTTGACGTCCATCGTTCAAGCGGAATACTTTGTAAAGCATTGTATCATGTTTGTGGTTGGTGTAGGATGTCTCAGAAGCGCATCAATGAAGAATGCCTCAGATCGGCGTTGTCTTTCGAGGATATGTTGTACCTCACATTGAGACCACAGTTAAGCGTGTTTGGTAAGATTGGGATGCGTAACTGACTGGTTAATTAACGCAATCAAACTGTTCTTGCATTCTTAAATCTCCCGTCCAAGTTAACGTCGAAATTTCAGTCAATTTCGATAGGATTTCTCCACAGAGGGATGTTCAGACATGGCTTCGACATAACCGACACACTGTTGTACCCGTGTACAGCTCGCAGGTGACATTGCAAATTAAAAGACATCAATGTGTCACCTGGAAGGCATTGTAACCGAACCAACGGCAGACAAGATAGAACACACCACAACTAGCTAGAGGAAAGACAAGGTGCACTAATTCTTCAACGGGTTGAGATTGCGATCATCACCAGGATGGGGACCGCGTGATCCTCATTGTGCCTGGGAGTGAATGTCTGGAGGTGTATGCACCTCGGAATGATTGTGTTAAGCTAGCACTAAGTCCCTCCCCCATCCACCTTTATTCTTTTCTTTACAATAAGGCTTTCAAATAAGTCATGGTTGTACGGCAGTGAAGCATTGGTGTTGAACACTGATGTCATGCTGTCGTTGATGATGACGATCATCATCACCAATCGTCATTAATATTTTAGTTGATTACCACAAGTTGACCCTACGTCGAATCAGCATACCAACGACCGATCGAAACGATGCAGTCATTTCCACACAAGAGATGACAAGACGTTGCACAACAACCAGACATCCATCGAAGACGATCTGAGGTCTTTTACCTCAAAATATAAGCTGTGAAGGGATGGCCCAATCCTGCGTGATACTGATATGGTCAAAGAGCTAAAGCAAGCGATAGGAAACAGTCTGCGAAGAGGGCGTGAGAACTTTTACGGCATCAAGAAAATGGGGGCACCGCGCGTCTGGAGATGGTCGCACTCCATTCTCTTTTCATTCTATTAATTTTAGAGACTTCTTCCGTATACTCTGCTATATATCGCCAAAGTGAAAACCAGTACACAAGCAAATGGAGATCATTCCCTTGACCAGGCTTTTGCAGAAGCCATAGCATCGGGACTGTGAAGGCTAATGGCGACAGACTTTCCGAAATTCGCGCTACTCACGCGCTTGCCTTTGCCAACATAAAACTTCATCTCGAACGTCGCCACATGGACACACCAACGCAACGGTCACTGTCATCTATTCGATTAAGTTATCGTTTGCCAGCTAGACGATCACGAAATTTTGCACCACCCTGGTGATGCGAGGTACCGACTGAAGAACATGACGCCATCTTGTCCGAAAGAAACTTAAAATCATAAGCCACACTGCCATCACATCACAAATAAACGCATAACAACTGATGTTAGGCGTTTAGAAGATCCGCAAGTTGATGTACTAGTATGAACTGGTCTCCAAACCGAAAGACTTCAGCCCATCCAGTTCGTTAACCTAAGCGAGGAACAACCAGACGACGACTGCAGTCGGCAAGATCTGGACAACGGCGAGCGGGACCCCTTAACTAGTTTCACAGCAACAACTAGCATTTAGAACAGCCGGTACTTGGAAAGAACAAAATGCTTGCTGAATTTTGTGCCTATCCGGACAGCGAAGTAGCAGCTTGGGGATGTTCAAAATTACCCGGCTCGGAGACTTAACCCTGTCAAGGACGCGAAGTGAGCGGACAAGAGGACTCGTTCGATGCTAGCATAAAGAAGTTTACGACCAAATGAACGCCATTTATGGATCAGGCATCTAACCGACCTATACTCTCCGGTATGCTGACATGGGACTGAAACAGACCTCATCTGCAGAAATGTTGGGTATATGGTGGAGGCATTTCACAACCTGCTGNTGATTGACGACCGTCGATTGGACTGCAGTCAACAAGTTATTTTGAAGGAACTCTCCCTGGACGTTCCTCTGAAACAGTAACATTCAGGCGAATTCGAATGACCAACGCAGGGTTCAAAACGGCCTCCAGGAAGATTATTTGTACACCACTGGAAGCGCAGTGGTTTGTTTTATAAAAAGGATTTCTAGAAGCAAACCTGGGTCACCATATTGCTTAAGTATGGTAACTCGGTTCTGAAGAGTGCCCTTCTTCCAGTGATCTAGAAAGAAGAGGAAATTCCACCAGAACCCAAGGGTGCTGTACTCGTGCAAATCATCGGTCCACTGAGCTGTGTGGGCGGGTTTCTGGCGCTAGTGCTACTCAACCACCTGTTAGTTGAAGTGATCGAGAAACATATCTTTGATGGACACCGAGGATCCCGTGCTGGTTAGAGCACAACCGATAGCCTCAAGGAAAGCTCCGCGGGGAAATTGACAGACGCTCAATTCCCTTTGCGCGGTAGTGAAACACTGAGCAGCTACCAGAGCAAACTCCGATACTTGGGTAGGTTTCACATGTGCTGATTGAGGTGGATACTCGGTGTCCATGGCAATGAATGGGTAGCAGGCACGGTGATCATCCGCGGGGGACATCGTGATGGAATAGAGGCTACATACGCATCCAACCGTCTACGGCGGTTGGGATATGCTTACCGAATGGACGGGAACCGGATTCCGAAACAGCCTCCGTGTGTTCAGCTGAACATGGAGAACCGGCAGCCCGAAAAACAAAAGCTAGGCACATTCATCAAAACTTTAAAAGCTGCTAACAAGGGTATCGTGAAAGTGGGAAGTGGAAAAGCAAAACAGGATCGAAGCGATGCAAACAAACTGGACTTCACAAGTCGGCAGCTTTTAATCAGAGAGCTGAAACGTATAAGACGCAAATGTAACTTCGAAACTGTTGGGCCTGAAAAAAAACAAGCTGAATTTACAGCGACTGCGACTGTGTTTAGTTTGGTCGTATTGGACTAGTCTGCTATCAGGAGACACACAATGGATCGAAGTTGAGACGTCCGCGGATAAAGCGAACCTACCAGACTTAACTTGGTTTTCTAAGGTTATCAGATAGTTGAGCCTAACGTGTTTCCCGTGACCATCACCATACAGACCTACCAAAATACCCCAACACACCGAGCGATTCGGTGTGCTAAGCCCACAACTGAGCTAGAAGTGGGTTCCAGTTATCATCATAGTGCGGACGAAATCGAGTCGAATCATGGCTAACTCCGGATATCCTCTGGGCTCGACTTATTAAGGTAGTCCCCATCTTTCCGACTAGTAACTTGATGCTATCTGTGTCAAAAGAGACCGCACTGTCCTTGGTGGTCCGGAGCGTTAAACCTATGGCGGTACTAGAAAAGTCATACTGTGTATCAACCAAGCTGAGTATTGGTTAGCATTGTGTACGCCTGAACTGTGTCTTCTGAGTGGTATGGGTCATCACATGATCCTCTGCGTGCACTGCGGAGCTCAACTGCTCAGATTCACCCGCTTGGACCGACAGTCAGAAGCTATCAGTTTGGAATCATGGTGACTGAGGCAGCGTCTCCTCATGTTCACCCCGAGATCTTACTTCCTCCGTCGGGTGCTGGGTTTCAGGTGGATGTACATTCGGCTCAGCGCAAACCGCCCGTGAGATTAGCAGTTGTGTGTGGGTGTGCATCGGCATCGTTCGATGTAAAAGTAACACCATTACTACTCGAACAACCAAAGTATAATACGTAGGGACACGACACGTCAAGTAATTCCAGTGCGTTTACAGAGACATGCATCCAGCTTTGTAACAAGTCTACGCCAATAGAATAAGCCAGCATTCGCAAACAACACGTGAAGCTTTTCAACTTCTGTATTGCTCGCAGTTTTACGTCAGAATCCAGGCGTATGTACTAACGACTGACGACCTCAGATAGTCTTGCCATGAAAACTACTTTCCATTCAGTTGCCCAAGATGCTCCAGGAAGCCAAAACTGCGGACAGCCGAATGAGCACAAACTACTTATTTGGAATGCCTAATCAAAGAGGGTGTACTAAGAGTGCCCAGGCAACGGTACCTCTTCATTTTCGTGTTCAATGATATGAAAAAAGAGGCAACCTGAAGCCCTAAATCCATGGAGGCACAGCTGTTCCTCTGGGTGTCAGTCTTGCGGGATTGGAACAAACAGTCTAACAAGTATAAAGGTTTCCATTCAGAGTCACTGGGGCGAATTTAAATGCTACGTTTAAAGAGATGACTATCGTCCAGAAAATGGCGTTTCGTATTTGAGGTGAAGGTGAAGGATACATACCGAAATATGTGCAAAAATAAAACAGCGGACGAGAACCAGAGGAAGTATAACATTTCGCAGTCCAAAAACTGCTGAAAACGATCAAAGTGCATTGCATGTCCGTGATAAAATATCACCATTTACTGTATTAACACAAAACCGATGCAGAATATGCTGACAAATTACCTTGAAAATTGTCTGCAACAGACAGCTCGACGCCAAAGCATTGTAGATTCTGCTGAGGAATGACACTTGAATCCCAAAGAGACTTCACGCTATCGAGAAGGGAGAAAGAATGCATTGAGGGTTGCAAGGTATCATAAACACATACAGCAAGTTAAACAACGCAAAACAACAGGCTGAGAAAGGAGGAAGTTCTTAAGAGTGAATAACAGAAATACTTGTCACAGTACTCAAAGCACTGAAGGGTTTTTTGGCCAAGCAACTCAGACTGCTTTTGATGGGCACCTGCTACTGCTGTCTGACATGTGATAACCAAAGGCACACCATATCTGATGACATGATGCGACATAAACAGTGTCTGTTACAACGCTTTCCAACGTTTTTCCACTCCGGCAAAGATGTTTTCAAAGTCACACACTAAGTCACCAGCCCGTGCCGGAGTAGAACTGTGCTAACGTTGAACAACTGCACCCGAGAAAATCGATCAGACGCGTGTATGGTGTTAGTGAACAGACCAGCGACTCGATTCTCGTGACGCAAGTGACTGTCTTGCCAAAAACCCACACATTCATTGTCCACGTCTCGTAAAAACAGGCTGGATGGCGCGCATTAGAAGCGGGAGTAATGGTATCCGTTAAAGTACTACTCGATTATTCACCCTACATTATTTATTATTATTATTAATATGTATCCAAAGGATGTATGGTTTCAGGTAAGTTGCTGTTGCTGTGGAGTTTTTGAATACGTTACTCTTACGTGGGACAAAGTGAAAAAGGACAGGTATTTTCCTACATATGCTGCTGTAGACAACATTTGTTCATTAAAATACGCATCCAACTGAGTTTTGAAGATTTATTTTTGTCATTAACCCAGAGTCGACCATTGATGGGATTTTAATGTTTCACTTTCCTCAAAGGAACTACTGATAAGGTTGCTGGAAGTTATTTGACAGCTCACGACTGGCGTCACTTTTTTGGGGCTCATCATGTAGGAACAATCCCCGAGCTTTCGCCAAGCTCATGTTCTATTTGAACACAAATTGCAAGAACAAAAGATCGCCAAATACATTCGACTGCACAGCTGTTTGGTCCTAAGGGGAGACTAAACCCCAACCCAACTGAATCCCTGGCTGTTTCCCTGCCCCGCTTCTGTTTCCCAGAAAGGGGAGAGGAAAGATTTAGTTGCATCAAGAAAGATGAGCTAACTTCCCCAAGAAGCACAACCAAGAAGCAAGTCATCTGTTTGTCAAGGTTGCAAACTACTACATGTGCATATGCCACATTATAATTAATACAATCGTCCTGGCTGTGCTGGTAGAGAAAGATTGAACTATAATAGTTGAACTCCTGAAAAGCAGTCCCTGGACCACTGGAAAATCTCCAAAAAATGATCGAAATTAGATGCAGAAATCGTTTACGGAAATCTGAGTAGCAATCGATAGATTTGTTGGTAGGTAACGCTTCGCGTTTGACACAAAAGCCAAGTTGAAACGTGACGGCGTGGAGTTGTGAATATAAGTAGAATCATTAAAAAAACAGGAGGTGGAAATCCAAACCCAATCAAAGTTCACGGATTTCCTCTCCCTTATGCAACTATAGTAGCAATAGCTGATCCACGCAGACAGAAAAAAGTGCACAGGACGTGCAAGTGAAATCTTCACGTGAAGCGAACTGGAAGAACTAGATCCGAAGCTGGACACAAATCCCCATCGATCTTAACATTTGCCGACCTACCCTAACAAACAAGATCCATTAACATACACCAAACACTAATTTAGCCTGACTTAGCTGATTGGTTTTCCTTCCATCTTAAATCTCGACCAACCTCGTAACCTAGTCACTTGGCCTGACGAGGCTTTTGTGTCAAAAGTGAAACGTTGTCCAGCAATAGATCTACTGATCGTTTCCCAGACTTTTTCTAAGACGATTATTCTCGATCGGTTCCAAGCGTTTTCCAGAAATCTCAAAATCAAATCCTGTTTATCACTTGCGAGTTAGTTGGAAATGATTGCGGAATTCACATGCAGCTCACTCTCGTCTGAATAGTCCTTTTCCTGTTCTAGCGCAACTTTTCTGGTGAGTCCACATCGAAGACAGGGAGCACTGGACTTGAGTTTCGCTATTATTAGAGCTCACCAGCAGTGAGTATCGTCGGCCGTGACGGGGATTGGATTCCGGACATAAAAAACTGTCCAGGAGGCCTCAAGCGTCCGGGCGCCGCCTCACTGGGAGGGCCAGACAGACGAATCAGTCGATTGGCACAAGATGGACAGTTACAGGGTCATCGCTCGAGGCCACGGGAAAACCATAAACGCATCCGCCTGCTTGGGTAGGTTGATTCCGTGTGTTAGTGAGGTAGTGGTAACACACTCGCCTTGCATGTCAGATGTTTGGAATTCAACTCTCGTCACAGCCAGCGATATGCACTGCTGATGGGCTCTGATGAACTCGAGTCCAATGCTTCCCTTTCGGTGTGGACTCAACAGAATAACTGTGCCAAATGAGAGAGGTGTGAGTATTGTTAAACTTATAGACGAACAGGAACAAGCCAGAAAACGGTGGGCGTGAATCCAAGCTGATACCAAAACTACCGAGTATATTTTGCCTATATTTTTAAAAGTATTCTTCACTTCACGATACATTAATTTCCTACAACTCACCGACCTGGACTGTGCTAGTTTTCTCAGTTTACTGTTAATACTCGTCGTTAATTTGCGAATACAGAACGTCGAAACAATAAATGCCAGTCCGTTAACCTCTCACAGGTGAATGTGAACCCAATCCGCTCAGAGGTAAAGTCTGTGCAAGCGTGCAAACATAAGGTGCTGAGTTTCTATCCTACGCGTTCTGTTCTTTCCATAGATGAATTAACTTTTCCAGGTAATCGTGCAACATTTCGCCCAATCATCTCCACATTCTTAGATGAGTAAATTTCACTTCTATTGCACATGTTTGTAAAATTTATGTGAGAATATTCCTAGTGTCCCAACCTAACCTCAGGCGCAACGCTGAACTCAGCAAATGCATGCTAGTGCCGGGTATAGTCACATGCAAGATCAAACAGACATTAAACATTAAACATTAAATCATTAAACATCAAACAGACATTAAAATCACATATGCAGGTAGTTGCACGTGCATTTAGTGTACCGTAAGCGTGTCAACCAGCATATATCGAAACGAGCTGCTTTTTGCACGCTCATGTGTTTGGTTCCTCAAGCAGAGAGTCGATACCTGAGAACACTTCGCTCATCGCTGTAACCCCTAGTTTACCCAGAAAACAGTTGCTCAATCCATACGAGGTATTACTCCCGCGGAGGGAGAATTCGACCGACACATAATAGTGGGTTTTGTTATGTGGAATCAGTTCTTTGCATTAATGTGGAGAACAATGTTAAATAGATATGCGACCAAAATGCTTCGATCCGCTCATTCAGTTATTTGGAAGTTCGTTTCACTGGTAGTGATGCCGACTTAGCATTTAGTCCAATCGCTCCGAAGATGGACCACATCTGCTAGTCATGGCAACCAATTTTTTAGCTGCATCTATATCACTGGGGTGTTTTTCGTACTCCACGGTTAAGGGGTCTCTTAGGGTTCCGGCAAAAAGCTTATACCTTGGGGAGGAAGCTGAGTATTGTGAACCATTTGCTGTTCACTTGAGTCATTCAGAGGAACAACTGTTTGATTCTGTTGGAAGGGGCAGCTGAGAATAAGCGCATGATGCTCACACCTGCAGCGTAACAAACTGGAGACTACTCATAGGGTTGCTGAAAACTCTTCGAAGAAATCAACCACACACAAGAGATTCAACTGAGTTTTTGCGAAGACAAAACTGGTGTGCAAACGAGTGCACTTCGCTAAACTGGAAACTAGACTGCCGGAGCATCAATGAGTAACGCCAGGCCTTACCTGCCTCCGTGGTATAACAATTACCAGCTGTTTTCCTGATCGCTTCACTTGTTTTATGTCCCGCCTGGATGTAAATAAATAAATGGATGAGGTGTTAAAGTGTTAGCAATCTTGATAGAACTGGTTCGTTTGTATGGAATTTAAAAAATGTCTTTTTAATGCGTGGATTCACATGAGTGTACTTCTTGGTCGCAAAGATAGAGAAAACGACAATTTTTTAGATGAAAAACTGTTATCTTCAAGAGATAAACAGAAAACTGGTGAGGAAGAGCAGAATGACGAGGCAGGTTTTTGCTCTTAATAGGATAAATACAGCGATGCAAGGCTTAAAGTATGACAAGCAACTGGACTGGCGAACAAGTAACTCGTAAAGTGCAGAAAATGTGACGGCGTTCTGCCATTAAGCCAGAGGACCGTACTCGGGCAACTTCAGGGTGATCTTCATAAGATTTACGGATACAAATCCAATACAAAAACATCTTACCAGTAAAATGTATCTGTTCGGGTGCCATTCTTGAAAGCAGATATGCCAAGGTGGTTGAACCCTATGCAAAGTCCATTTTCATACTGATCCTAAAATGGAGAGAAAACAAAGCCCTTTGGGTATCAAAATTGAGTACAGGATATTTACTAAACTTGTTGAATGTAAACAGTTACTCGCGAATTTCGGTTTAAAAAATCCAAACGGCATCAGAAGTCAAGGAGGGTTGAAAAAACACAAGCCTCATCGTAGCTTAGTTTTGAGGACGAGTTGCTTTAAATGGCACATTTGAAATGTTGCAACGTTTTTGACCAGACTTTCGACCTTCAAATAAAAGGTGGACTATGAATACGGGGCATCCTTCAGCCTCAGATGTGTCCGGGTGTTTCACTCTGATACGACCTGATACGATGGAAGTATGAAGTGAACGCTGGAAGGTCTTCAAAACCTCCGTGTTCAAATCGTTATTAGTGAGAACCTTTTTGATCCCCAGTACGAGACAACATCGCCCTCATCTTTGAAGACCAAGGCGAAGCAGCTCTGTTGAATAAACTGACAACTCTCGTACATCTTTTGGCATGCGTCTTGTCTCTCCCAGGTGTAAGGTCATGCTTCATAACGTGCAATTTCTGAACACAAGCATTACAATCCAAGGAGGTTGTGTAGAATTTTGCATACTTCCGTAATTGTATGTGCGTCTGACGAGGTCAGTGAAGGAAACGCAAAGCTTTGGATCTTTTTGCCGATTTGCGTCACTCATGGCGTCACTGGGTCGGGTGTATCAGGCACAGTAAAAGCCGTCTTGTTGGTTGTGAGACATAAACTCTCATCAAACATCATCATTATCAAAGACAGCAACATCAGTCTTGACAATGATACCTCACTGCCATACAACCGCAGTGTCCATCTAATTATATTTAAAGCCCCAGAGTGAAAAGAAGAGAAAAAGAGGGGTTGGGGGAGGGGACCTAGTGCTGACCAACTGTAGTGCATTCTGAGGTACCTACACCTCCAATTGCTCAATCAGACAATCTGGAAAGAAACTGACAGCACGAACGCCACTGACATCGATTTGCCGCCATTTCTTGCGATGTCTCCAGCAAGCCACAGATTGGGCCACGGGGACCCAATCCTGGAAGGCGTGATGTTTCTTCCGATTAAAGTTCCTTGACTCAACCAAATTCCCGTTTTCTAATCATCTCGTTACTAATACGTTGGCGCCATCCAAAATCAACTATGCTTCTGAAGCATCGGGGGTCAAAAACCTGAAGACGCCTCACACCATCTGTCCGCAGAGGCCACGTCTCACACCCATACAACATAGCCTTTACTGTAGCCTGTCATACACAACCCTTAAGATCCAGTGAGATGAATTTTTGACGGTACAAATGACGCAAATTAGCAAACGTGATTCGAGCCTTTGAGACTTTATCAGAAACTTCCGTCAGAGCCAATACAAGTACCGAAGTATGTGAAGGTTTCAACAATCTCCAGTGATTCTCCTTGAATTGCAAGGGATATGATAGCAGACGGCACATTCTGAAGCATGACTTTGCACTTTGAAGGTGCTAGGCGCATGTCAAAAGATGGTATGATGGTGGTAAGTATATTCGACAGGGCTTGTGTTTCACTGTGATATTCAAAGATAAGGGCAATATCGTCTGCGTACTCCAGATCGACAAGACTGTCATCAGCAACAGTTTGAACACCAGAGTTTCTAAGACTTTCCAGCGTCTACATCATTATTTCATCAGTCATGAGGTTGAACAAGAATCGAAAGAGTGGACATCCTTGTGGGATACCCATTTTTATAGGGAACCTTTTGGAGAGCTCACCATACACTCACCTTCCCAGAAGTGTGTGAATGTAGGGATCCGATTATGTCCACAAACTTCTGGGGCGTACCCTGTTGCGCAAGTGTAGTTAACAGCACTGACCGATCGGCAGAATCGAACGCACCTTTGAAGTATAGGAATACCAAGACTGTGGGTCATCTGTATATATGACGTTCCTCCAGTACTTGACGGAGTGTGAAGGTGTAGTCAACGCAGCCTTCATCGGGTCGAAATCCCGCTTGATTTTCAGGAGCAAAGGGTTCTCGTGCCACTGTAAGGCGTCGAAGAATCAGTGACGTCAGAAGCCTTGTCACAACAGGCGTCAAACTAACACCCCTGTGGTTACTACATTCACTGCGAGTACCCTTTTTGGAAATGGACACTACTATCGATTCACTCCAGTTGTCTGGGACAGTCTATTTCTCCCAGATAGACCCGAACACGCTAGACAGGCACTGGCTGGGAAATCCAACGCCATCCTTGAAAAGAGCAGGTGGAAGTTCGTCAGGACCAGCAGCACGATGACGCTTGAGTAGGGAAATACACTTGGACACTTCTGAGGTTGAAGGTGGTTCTATAATCACGGTCCATCTTTCTGTTGAAGCCCAAGATTCTGGATTGGAGGTAGCAGGTTGCCAGCTGAATTCCTGTTCGAAGCACTGTGCCCAGCAGTCCAGACGTACTGCTTTGCTATATATCAGGGAAGCGTCTTGGTCCCTGATTACTTCACTGATAAGAGGTTTCCGACGTCCAGTTGAACGAAGCAAGTTAAACAGCCTGCTGACGTTTTAATCATTCTTTGTATCTTCCATTTCTTCGGCCTTTCGGGTCCACCAAGCTTCTCGGTCTGCACGGATACTCAGCTTCACCTGGCGTCGGATGATGCATCGCGTGGATTCGGGACTGCGGCCAAGTGGAACCTGTCACCTGGTCTCCAGCAAAGACACGGTCCTATCAAAGATTCAATGTTTTGATTGGGTTGTACCGCAAACAGACGTTCCGGCTTTGAGTAGCGCTTTAGCTAGCTTCTCCCAGTGGCCGTTTATTAAAGACACCGTACAATCCGGCCGGCATTCGAGGAGCTGATTTTGATAGTTTCGTTTGACTTTTGGGTCCATTAGCTTCTCAGTGGCTAAGTGAGGTGTGTGTTTTGCGTAGACCGGAAAAGCGCAATGAAAACCAGCAACGTAAAAGTGCATGTTCAGAGTCAACGCTGGTGTTCCAGAAGGAGCGACAGGCAGTGATTGACCCTTGCCATCGATAAGTGACGGTGATGTGGTCCATTTGGATTCTGGGCTGGTTTGTTGGTGGGCACCACGTTGTCAAGCGATTTCCGCTGTTCCGGAAATTCGTACTGCAAGAGAACACCTGAAGTAAGCGGTCTCCGTTGTCCGTGTGTCTCGTGTCCAAACCACGACGACCACCCAATCAGACCTAGACGGGAAGACAATTAGGGTTCTCAACCAAAGCCTTTGGCTCAAAAGCCTAACTGCAAGGCAGCGGTGTTGGGCTGGAAATGCAAATGCATTACCATTTTTACGGACATAAAAACTGTTCTTGACAGATTCAGAGCTACAGTCAGTTGGAGCGTAAGCAGACACATTAAACGAGGTGCGATGGACCTCATATCCTCTAGATTCTCTCACAGATGTTGCTAAATGAACCGCATAGAGGCGCCTACCAACGGCTTTCCAACCAAACAGAGACGTTCTCGCTCGGTCACTCAACACGATACCCATCACAACATATCCAAAGGTGCGCAGCCGGAACCTGGAAGAGGGCGCGGCGGCAGTCAGTTCGATCATAGTATTTGAGTCAGGAATCTTGTTTCTGACAGACAACATACATCAATGCCGATGGAATTCGAGCAAGGGCACCCTGTTGACCTGCTCGCTTCAGTGTGCAAACATTAAAGGCGACTAAGTAGACAGACTTTCGGGGTTTCGAAAACAGGCATCAAACTGTTTAGGGTTGCGCTGATGTCGGACATACAGAAGCTGCAGCCAAGTGTGGTGCAGGGCGAACAAAACAGTCAGTCCTAGTGCGGGGATCTGCGAAGAAAGTTTTCAAGGGTTGGTGGGGGAAGGTGGAAGACGGAAAACGTGAAAGTGAAAGAAGGAATGGTCCAGCAGTAATGTTTTTGCTTACCCGCGCTGCTGTATGCAGCAAGTAAGGCGATAGGGCTGATTGCACCACGCGACGGCCGACTTGGCATGATTTCACTTGTATATGTGCACTTCACGATAGTAAGTGGGCCAGGATACTGCCAGGTCACCCACACTTAGAGAGTAGGATAATTAGAATCCTCAACTAAAGCGTTAGGCTCAAGGCAGCGGTGTCGAGCTGGAAATGCGAGTACATTATCATTTTTACGTCGCCAGACATGTTTCAACCCCTAAGCTGGAGACGTGACCCCTGTAGACTGATAATGTAAGGCTTCTTCAGGTTTTTGATCACCGACGTCTCAGAAGCAAGGGCGGTGTCCGATGGCGCCAGCGAATTCGTAAAGAGGTAATACCTCGCGTAGTAGCGGAAAACACCCAGCGCTATCAACTACGGTGATTTGGTCATATACTACACACGTCGTAACATAATGTACCGATACGGGTATTATCCTCCTTCAGAATGACGTAAGCCGCGAGGTGGATTGTGTATAGCTTGACAGATGGGTGTGAAAGACATTACGAAGAGTTTAGATATTGTTGATTCGATTCGGCTTCAAGGCTGAGGCCTCCGTGACAACCCTAAGCTTGGCTGGAGAAACTGCAAGAAATAGCGGCTGATGTCAGCAATTGTGCTGTCCTTTCCAGATTGTCTGGTTGAGCGCTTCGTTTTACGGTAGTGAGGCATCTGTATTAAAGTTACCATTGCTGTCCATGATGTTTCCAGGCAGCTCGTAGAAGCTTGTGCCTTCAGTAAGACCTAATAACCTCGTGATTCTCACTAAAACCGTCTCAAAAACTTCCGGGACTGAAAGAGGGCCGATGTGTATCAGTCAAGAGGAAAAACACTAGCCTTATTGAACTCTCATTCGGTAACCAAGTTCTGCATATTTACACAAGCCCTCAGAGTAAACTTCGACAACCTAGAGCTCGATATTTTTGCCTGTTCACCAGGTTTTAGAGTTGTCCGAAATCCTGTTCAACCTGTTTGAAACACCCTAGTCACTAGGGCACAGCGGAAGCCTGCGAACGAAAGGAGTGAAGTTCGGTCGTCACACTGTCTGTGTGATATTAAGAGAGGAATCACAAAAATAA